TGATTTTAATGTATCGGATTAATTCTTCATTGGCTACCGATTAAGATAATTAGGTTCATGTTCGCTATTCCTAATTCTTAGAAAACAAATTAACTCAAGCAATGGCCAGTTGTCTAAATTAACGGGTTTCCTAGATTATTGATTCGGGTTAAGTAAGACTTGTAGTGGTTAACTAAATTGGCCCTTCAATTAACCTCTTGTCGATGTTCATCCAACAAGCTTACACATTAACTTACCTATCTTCTAGTTAATTCTAGTTTCACGTTCGTTATTCCTAGACATACAACTATGGTCACAATAAATCATATGAAATTAATAACTAAGAGATGTTCATACAACTTAATTACTGATTTATTAATAGAAGAATAGTTATTGTCAACACATAAGGTTCTTTAACAAGCTTAACAAATCATAATTACCAATCAAAATTAATCCTACTCAAATAATCAATCCATGTTCACAAAATTGTCTACCCTAACAGAAGAATAAGTTTTTAGCTCATGATTGCAGTAAACATAAACTCAAAAACGAAATCAAAGTATGTAAACATGATTCAAATCAAAAAGTTACTAAGAATAAACCAAAATTGTCTTGATTCTCTTCACAATTGAATGTAGGGTTGATTCTTCAGTTCCTCACGACCTAACAGCACTTCCAATCGTTTCTCAGCCTCCTAGGGTTTCTCTCCATGCTATGATATCGATATGAAAGTCCCTTTATATAGATTTTCACAAAACAGAGGCTACTCGGCGAGTCCAGTGACCTACTCGGCGAGTCCGTCACTTAAAACCCGTGTACGGCAAGTCAGCGCGTCCAGAATCGCGAAAGTTCGATACAACTCGCCGAGTAATCGACCCTAATCGCCGAGTACGTTTCGAATCAGCATTTTCTCAAAACACGAAAGTCATCCGAAATTGTGTCTACTTCTCAGAACATTTTGAATCTCGTCAATCGGAGTTACGGTTCATGAGATACGGCCAAAACACTGACAAGGGGTCAAGCTGTCCATCAACATCCTTCTTTCTTCAAAATCCAAGATCCAAGCGTCCAATCGCCAATTCCGCTTCACTTTCCTTTCGAGCATGTCATTTTTGCTGAAAAATGAAATTATAAACTAATTAAGCACCTTTTGTTCATTAAAATACACAAAAAAAAAAAAAAAAAAAAAACATAAAGTATTAAGATAATGCATGAATTTTATAACTAAATATGCCCATATCAGTTGCCGCTAAATCTTCCCGCCGCCACTAATAGTCGTCGCCGCTAAAACTTAGCGCAGATATACTCCCTTCGTCCATCGCTTTCTATATTCTGTCTATTTCCACCTTTAATCATGTGGCAACATCTTTTGCGGCGACATATAAACCATTTGTAGTTAGCCAACAATGACAACTTTTTAACAGCGACACGTCGCCGCAAATGAATTTAGTGGAAACATACATAGCTGTTAGCGGGGACAATTGTCGCCGCTAATGCTCACATGTGTTGTAGTGTATTAATCATATTAACTTATTTTGTTATGATATTAGCAATATATACGAACTTTGTAATGATATTAATCGTATTTAATTATTTAAAATTCAGCGAATTATCAATTTTGGGCCCCCGATTAATCATCGTCTAACCGATTAATTTATTTAACTCAATACACCGACTAGCTAACGTCGAAAGTATTTTACAACTTTATTTGTAAATGCATAGTTATAGAAGAGGCCTTCGGTCTAATTTTTTATCCCTGTATTTTCTTTTTATATTTTTGACCAAGATTTTCCCTTTTTTATCCTTTGCAACATTCATTTTCTTTTTTTTTTCCTTGCATATTCTTTTTACATTTTTGACCAAGATTTTCCCTTTGTTATCCTTCGCTACATCCATTTTTTATTACAAATTTGAATCGCATTTCAAATTCTTTTGTGGATATTGTGCAGGACTCTTTTCATAATCTATCACGGTTTCTTTGATAACTTTTTTCCCATTTTCTCTAGAAGTTAGTTTCAAATAATTTTTTTTATTGAATCTTAATGGTTTTATATACAGCTAGATTAGATTTTTTTTTTCTAGAATTATTTTTTCAATCTTTGTGTGTTTTCATTTTTATGTAAGGTTTTTTTATTTTTTTATTTTAAGATTTTTTTTTGTTTTATAGATTAATTCGTTTTTACAAATATGCAAAATTTTGCTCTTTTTACATATTTATCTTCCCAAAGCGAAAGTAGCTTGCCATGTATAATTAATCTAAAAGGGTGCAAACTATAACTAACCGCAACAACAAGTAAAGTATTATTACCGGTTAATCGGTCACATCGACCCATTTTTTACAACACATATACATTACATACACACATACATATACAACTATTAGCAAGAAAAAACTTGTACATAATACACACATCACCTACATAAAGATACACACATCACAAACAAACTGATAAATACATACAAATACATAAACATTACATTCATACTAATAAAATTATTAGTAATTCCTGACCACTAGGCCTGAACATCTAGGATACACATACATCCTATACTCACTCTCTCAAGAGAGGCTAATCATTCCTCACACCGACATGTTATAAACTGCACTGAATAATGTAACTTCCACCAACCCTACAGCCGCTCGTGCATGCTAATCATATATAATGTTGAATCCTATAGATAGTCGAGTCTGAAAGGACAACTCAAAGGTCAAGAACATGTCATATTCAAGATCTAACATTTTGGGGCATAAAGATCTCCATAAAACAACCTAAACCAAATCCATGAGATAGGGGTAAAGTTGCAAACTTTTTACCTTATAATGGTTGCAAATGAAGTAGAAATCCTAGATCCAAGTGTTCAACTCCTTCAAGATGAGCTTGGCTTCCTTCCTTCTTCTTCTAAGGCACCAAAAACATACTTCTAAGCTTGAAAAGGCTCCTCAAGGTGGTTCTATGGTTTCACAAATGAAATAAAGGGTAAGGTAGCTAAAATGGGTGAAATGAGGCCATAAGAGTGCTTAAATACCAGCCAAACCCTAGGGAGCACCCTAGTACACTCATCGTACATCACGTACGCATGGTGTACTCAGAAGATCCATTATTACAACAACGCAATACACCTTAATATAGGGCTGCTTTTGCACACTTTCTTGAATTTAGGGACCATAACGCAATACACCTCAATATAAGAATCAACAATGGAAGTACTTCAAAACCAGATGCTACACTTGTACAAAAAACATTCACCTTTTCTCAAACTATTGTTCAAAATATCCAAAATACCCTTTGGTCAAACTTGGTTAAAACCTTGTTCAAAGGTCAATGTCAACAAGGTCAACGATCAGCTTAGACAAAATCAGCGTTATGTCGTGACCATTCCTTGGTTACTTTGTCAAAATGCATACAAGAAATCGTGATTCTGGACACTGTCACGTCATAAAACATCCTATGTCACGTCGTGACTTCTGGTCAGAAGGCCAAAATCTACATTAAGTGCTTAATCTCTTTAAACCAAGGCCCATAACCTGAAATCTAGTTCCTAAATAGCTTCATAATGGATAAAGTTTCCAACTTTATCTATTAGGATGGTCCAAACTATCAAGATCTCGTCTGCAAGTCTCAAAAGGACCAAAAGCACATCTTTCTTTGCTAAGTCCATTAAGTCAAAGTCTCTAACCTTCAAATCTGAATCAACATAATGTTTTGATGGATAAAGTTTTTAACTTTATCTAAAATAATGTCTCAAGCTTTCAAGACCCAAATTTTAATACACCAAAATGGCCTAAATGACCAAAATAACTTGCATGACTGAAAAGGAAGGCAAAATATCAAAACTTTCCTAGTCCATGAGGTCCAAGAAAACATTCTAAACATGATCAAAAGGTGTTGAAGTCCAAATCAGAAACATACAATTATGTTGGGACCTTGGAGAGTAATAAAGTTGCAAACTTTATTCCTAACTCTCACTCAAAACTCATTAACATGGACCAAAACATCAAATACACTTAGATCCGCAAATGAAATGCAATAAATCTTAGAACTTTATAACTTACAAAGGTCTAGAAGGTGGATGAAAGTTTGGATCTCGCATTGCCATGCTTTAAAGATCAACTTTCAAGAGGTTCTAGATATGATGGAGGCTAAGAAAATACCCTAAAATATGAATAATTACCTTTAAATACCTTAAAAACCGTAAATTTTCATGGGTTTTGAGATGCACAGTTATCATGTCATGAGGATATATTCTCACTTTATGAGCACTTCTCACGTCGTGAGAATTACTTCTCACCTCGTAAGAATGAGTTTTCATCCAATTTCACTCTAACTTAAAATATTCATAACTTCTTCGTTTCAACTCCGTTTTCGACTATCTTTATATCCATAGACATGTATTGACGAGCCCCATATTTCTATCTAGTTAATTTTGGCTTAACACATGTTGAACTAAAAACCATAATTCATGAAAGAAGTCTAAAACATCATTTTTCCCATTTTCACCTATGACTCCAGGACAAAAACCAAAGCTTTAATCACTTATCCAACATTATCATCATCCAATAAGGTCTAAATCTCATTCCCTTGAAGCCAATACCTTTACTTAATTCATTCATTATCCACAATCTCGAAAATAAAAAACTTCTTGAAAAATAATGTTACAAAAAAGTATTCTAAAATATTAAGAATACCTTGGTAATCTAGTAACCAATTTAAAAAACAAAAAAAAATAGTTGCCACAAAATACAGATTACATATATTTTGATCAAAAGGATGTTTGAGATTTCATTTTATCATCAAAATGACTTTTAGACAAGAAATTATCGATTTATAGTGGAAAAAAAAATAGTTTTATGAATATCAAAATAACAATGCCAACCGACAATAGATGATAAATCCTGAAAACAGTATACATAAAACGACATAAAAGATGATACTAATGATTATCAATGCAGTGAATAATATCTTATATTGAAGATAATATCCAGTGGGATAGTGTAGAAGCCACACAAGAGTACTGAGAAGATGGCCCTCTTTAGTACGTCTCCATGCACACCTGAGTATGACCGGAGAGCTGAGCTCACAGCTTTTGACGAAACCAAAACTGGTGTCAAAGGACTTGTAGACGCCGGAATAACTGACGTCCCTCGGATGTTCCGTCTACCCTCACCTGAAAACCTAAACTCCAATCAACCCTCACACTCAGAGCTTAGTCTTCCGACCATCGATCTGGAAGGAATCAACGAAGATCCTATCCGGAGAAAGGAGGTGATCGAGAAAGTGAAGGATGCATTCGAGACTTGGGGTTTCTTCCAGATTGTGAATCATGGAATTCCTGATAGCATGTTGGAGGAGATGAAAAAAGGTGTTTTAGGGTTTTTTGAGCAGGATAGTGAGGTGAAGAAACAGTGGTACACTAGGGATCGTAGCGGGAAGCGTAAGTTCGTGCACCACAGCAACTTTGACTTGTACACTGCAGCGGTGACTAACTGGCGAGACTCTTTCTTTTGCACAATGGCTCCTGATACTCCTCAACCAGACGAGTTGCCATCGCCTTGCAGGTATGCTTTTCAATCTATTTCAGTGAAAAAGATGGTGTCGTGAAACTAATGAGTGGTGGGTAATGGATCACAATGAACATTTGGATAAGGGAGTATGTTTTTTGATCGTCCAATCTTTTTGGTTTGCTTTACCGATATATTTTAATTTATTCAAAGAAACAAATTATAATTATAAATCGTAATCGTCTAATAGTATTCTGAGCATCTTCAAACATTTTCCTATTTTTTCTTTTTTTATCAATTATAATTAGATAAACTTTGATCGTTCGAAATACTTTTCATACCACCAAATTAAGAGTATATTTTTAATTATAAAGTTTATAATAATTGAAATTAAAAATATAAGATTGAACAAAAAATCATAAAAAGTTCCATTAATTTATGAAATAAAACTACATTATAGATTAAAAAATTAAAAAATGTAAACAAACAAAGAAAAATAAATTTATATACGAATTTTTTTTTTTCATCGCTAGGTCCTAGCCCTCAAGGTTGTTGGCCAATGCCGCTTACGATTTGTTGTTCACATTGCAAGACCCCTTGCATGGCGGTTTTAAATAACATTTTAACAAAATATTTTCGATCAAAATAAGTTACAAATTTCAATTGCGTGGTCCCATTACATCACTTTCAAATTAGTTTGGAAAACATCATGTTAGAGGGTAACAATATATAGTTATGTAAAAACAATTCTAAATGAAACAATATCATCATTACAAAGACCAGAAGTCCTCTAAAAATCTTTAATCTTCTCAATTCTCATCTCTAACAATAAGTGGTTATTTAACTTGTAAAAATATATCAATACAGTGGGTTAGGTTATGGAGAAGATAGTGAGTACAATACTAGGGTTAGACACTAAATAGATAATATATGAAGGGACACTAAATTCATATCTAAACATACAAACTCATACCTCAACAAAATAACAATATTGTCAAAATTCATCATTGGGGATAAAACATAAGTCAAAGTACATTGTCATAAACATTAAATTGCATACAAACATAAAAAAAATAAAAATAAAAATTAAAAAATTAAAAAAGAGGACAATATCCACTATGCAATGCAACGAAGTGCCCAAACCCTCAAGTCATCCCAAAGAAACTATAAGGTTAGGAAACCCCCAAATCTCAATTAAAACTTTATTCAAGTGTCTATGAAGGAGATTTTGCTAGAATATTAAATCAAATAGGAGAATAAAGTTAATAAACTTCAATAAAACATAGAATAAAACTTGAATAACAGCTTTTAGAAATTTTACAAACCCTAACATAAACATTAAAGTGAAAAGAATGAGACATACCTTCTCAAGCTAGGGATTGATTGGGGAATGTCCAGGTCTTTAATGACGTCTTTCAAGAGCTCCAATCATAATTAGATAAGGTAAAATAGCCATAGAAAAGCTCTCGGGGGCTAAATATGTTTGAATGGGGGCGAGGAAGGGTTGGAGATCTACTGTCAAAACTATAAGTATTTGGCTAATATCGTCCCTGAAATTCAAAAGCTTACACTTAGACTAGCATTTTGACTTGGAAACTAACTAGTAACTGTAATATTTCCCTAAATAACCTCGATATAACTTCTGACATCTAAGTCCTATTTAGTCAACAAGAACCAAATCTTAACTTTCACACATTGGTAACCATTGTTCCCTAAAACATAACTTCCACAAATAAGACACATTAAATATATTATGAATTCCATGCAACTCTTGAGGTGACTCCAAATGATAAGCTTGTTTCCTAATTCTTTCTGACACCTTCAATGACCCAATATACCTTGGATTTAACTTCCATATTCCTTCCAAGTAGATCGACCCTCTCCATGGTGACAACTTCAATAGCACTTAATCACATACTTTAAATTTCATTAGACAGTTCTTGTTTGCATAGTTCTTTTTTCGACACTAACACCACCAACATTCTCTCCCTAATACTTTCCACTTTCTCAATGGTCTCGTGAATCAAACTAGGCCCCATGAATAATTTCTCATTAACTTGTAACCAACAAGACAATGATTTGTGCTTCTTTCCAAACAGTTCTTCATATGTTTCCATCTTAATCGTCGAGTGATAGTTTTTGTTATAAGAGAATTTAATGAATAAGAGATGCTTAACACAACTCTCCGAAAACTCTAGCACACATGATCTCAACATATCTTCTAAACTTTTAATTATTATCTAATTATGGTTTTCAGTCTATAGATGGTAAGTAGTAATCAAGAAAAAATTTATTCCCAATTCATCTTGCATAGTTCTCCAAAAATATGAAGTGAAGCGACTATCTCTATCTAACATACTAAATAAAGGTACTTTATGTCTCCTTAACTTTTGTTTTCACATATAATTTTGCAAACTTTTCCTTAGGTGATGTTTTTGTTGCTATGATGTAGAGAACACTCGTTGTTAATCTGTTCACAATCACCCGAATCATGTCATAACCCTTCTTTGTCTTTGGAAGCTTCATCATGCTAAGTTTATACCAATTTAGGAACTTCTGAAGGTCTTGTTTACCATATGGGGCTTGATGCTTAGTTTTATTTAAAGAACAAGTCAAACAAGCACTAATATAATTTTCAGTATCAAGCTTCATGGTAGACCACTAATAATACAACTTCAAATTCATATATATATATATATATATATATATATATATATATATATATATATATATATATATATCTTAATTTTTACTAGGCACACTAAGCATCTAGATCTATGGGCCTCATCCAGTAACATCTTTTTCCTATCTACATGCATAGGTACCTATATCTAACTCTAGAATGTTTTAATCCTTATGAGTCCTTCTAAAAAAACTATAGATTTCCTTCTGTTTCTTCCAATTATGCTTTTACTTGCATTTATTCCACTTCTTTCAAAGCTTCAACAATGGATGGTATCACATAAATTATTAGACACTTAACCGCCTCTTTTCCTTTAATTCTTTTCTACTTAAAGCATCAACCACTATGTTAGCCTTGTACGATGGTATACAAGTTCATAATAAAAATAATAGTCTTTATGAGTAAGCAAGTAGTGTAAACTGTTTTGATCAGCATACAAATGAGATTTTATTTCATACAAATAATGTATATTTATATATATATATATATATATATATATATATATATATATACATATCTTCAAGTTATGAATCATGGTTCAAATGATTCAACTTATATGGCTTCAACTGTCATGATGAATAGGCTATCACTTTACCCAATTGGGTAAGAATACAATGCAATCCTTTTTCAGACGCATCATTGTCCAAAACAAATTTCTCCACTCTTTCTAGGAATGTAAGAATAGGCACTTCACTAGCTTCTTCTCAAGGTCTTTAAATGCTTTCTTATGGATGTTGGTCTATATGTACTTTATATTCTTTTTAGTCAATGTCATTAAGAGACATGAAATCAGTGATATTTTTTCAACAAATTTGTGGTAATAACCTGACAATCCAAGGAAACTTCTTATCTCAATTAGTCTTTTTGGTAATCCCCATTTTTGCAACAACTTCAATCTTTGATGGGTCTGCTTTTTTTCTAATTTTTGGTTGATTATGTAACTATGAAATTTTATTTCTTCAATTTAAAAGTCAAATTTTGAAAATTTTGCATATAACTTCTCTTCCTTCAATGTCTTCAACACAAGTCTTAGTGCTCTTCATGCTTTTCATTTATCTTCGTGTAGATAAGAATATCATCAATGAAGATTGTCACGAACTTATTGAGATACAATTTATATGCCCTATTTATGTAGTCGATAAAAGTCGCTTACACATTGTGTAAGCCATAAGGCATCACCAAAAACTCGAAATAGTCGTATCTAGTTTGAAAGTAGTCTTCTAAAATTTTTCATTAACTTCATACTTTTAGTTGTTGGTAAACGAATTAAAGAATTGTTTTAATAAAATAATTTGCTGCCTACAATTAATCAAATAGATTCTCAATCCAGGGTAAGGGATACTGATTCTTAATGGTAACTTTGTTGAGGTTGCGGTTATGAATACACATTCTTATCGACCCATCTTTCTTCTTTACAAACAAAATAGGAACTGTCGAAGGTGAGGTGGTTGGCCTTATAAAGCCCTTATCTAATAGTTCTTGAAGTTTGGTTATAAGCTCGCTTAACAACGAATGTGTTAATCGATATAGTTCTTTTACAATTTATGTAGTTCATGGTATCAATTTTATAGGAATATCCACTTATCGATCTGTGTGTGTGTGGGGGGGGGGAGTCCCGATAATTCCTCAAGAAAAACATCAGAAAATTCTTTCATCACATCAATTTCTTCTTTGGTATTCTTTTCCTTTACCGTGTCTAGCATATATTTAGAATATGTTGGACATCCTTTCTTTAAATACTTTCGTTTCTTCATCAAATTAACAACATGAGTAGCTACACGTCTCTTGACTTTATAAATGAGAATTAGGTCACCATTGGTGGGTTTCAATCGCACCAACTTCTTACTAAAAAAGTTTTAGCCTCATACATTAACAACCAATCCATGTCGAGGCTAACATCGAATCCTCCAATTTTCATATAAATGAGGTTTTCTTGAAAAGTAACGCCACAACACTCAACGATGACATTTGCCTATTCTTTGCTAACTATAACAAATATATTGTCCCATATTTCGATAATTACTCTTAGTTTTAGAGAAAATGGTGGGGTTATTAATTTTTTTCTAAAGTCTTTTCACACATAAATATAAATGGATCTGAGTCTAAGAGTAATGACACGGGGATGGAAATTCTTAAGAAACTTCGTGAAACTAAATCCTTCTCTTCACATACCTTTGTCTCGGTCATTTAAAAAGCTTGAACCTTTCCCCTTAGTGGTTCACATCTCTTGCTTTTATTTCCTCCTTAATTTTTTGATTGTGTGTACATTATAGAGGTATGCTCATACTCTTTGCAGTTAAAGCACATGATGATCTTAGTACACACTGTTGAAACTTGAACCTTATTCCTAAAATTGAAAAAATTCACTCTCTTTTAGAACTTGTCCTACAAGACCCATCCCATTGCTTCCTTTTTTT